GACTTGATTGCTCTTGCTTTCTCCTTTCAATCAGGAGACAGAGGCTGTGATAATTTATGAGGGGTATTCATTTGCACAGTTTGCTTCCAGGCTGCCTGCCATTTCCATCAGTGGTGCTCACGACTGACACACAGGAGAGGTGCGCAGAGAATGATTCGGGCCTGACGTGTTCAGGTTGCATGAACGCGATGGCTCTTGGCTTAGAGCTCTAAGGTAGCGCATGTTTTTAGAAATGGCTTTGTCTCACCTGCTCAAAAGCAGAGCGCACTGGTAAGAGCAGGCCTGTGGCTGTCTCTGTGTGTTCCCTACTCCCTTCTTACCTTTTTGAGTCTCTTATTTCTACAGGCCCTGTTTGGAAGCAAAAGTAAGACTAACAGTGACCTTGCCCTAGGCCAGTATTGGTATTTTACAGAGTTAATACAACATGAAGGTGTGTGGGAGGCTGGTAATGGCCTCTCAATTCCTGTTCTTGCCTTCTTTGGTAACATGCGATGTTCCTCAGGCTTGTGGCCACCTGGCCCCCACGTAACTCTTTTTGGTTTCCTTGCAGCCAGGTGTGGTAGATGGGCCTGGTGCCAGTTTCTTTCTTTTGTCTTTCTCTCTTTCTTTCTGTCCTCTTTCTTCCTCTCTCTTTTACTCCCACCGACTCACACCCTGGCTATGTCCTCATCCCTTGCACTTTGACTTTGCACTTGGCTGTGTGTCCATGGTTAGGCCAACGGCATGGGCACAGAATGGTCTCGTCCCAATTTTGTGTCTGGACCCTAAGAGGCCTCTCACCCAGGACACATCTTGGCTATCCCGTTAGCTCTGGACCATCCAACTCTCGAATTCTTTTCCCTGAGAGAGTACTAAACACCTCTTAATTTATTATCGTTTGGGAGTTTTCCTGTTACCTGAAGCCAAAGAGAATCCTTACTGACAAAGGAAATAAAAAGAAGAGGAATGCATAGAAGAGATTCAGGGGACCTCTGGGAAATGTTGGGGGTGGGGGCGTTAAGGTTAGTTTGCTGCCCAGGAGAATTGTTTGGCCTGTGACTCTGGAAAGCAGTCTGAAGGTATTGGAGGTGACCCTTTGCTGTTTCACGTAGAAGGGCCTGTCTCATGAATAGATGTGATAGGTTGTCACCTAAAGTAGCTAGAGCAGGCTCCCCTTGCTCAAAAATCTCTCTCCCACTCTACCGAGCTGTTGTCTGAAAGCCGTGCTCGTGGAAGCTATTCAGGAGTTTAGCAGAATGTAGAGGAATGTTCTGTCTTCCCCCTCCATGTAGGTTGAAAAAGGAAGCCTTTCTCCTGGTTTCCTGCAGAGGGTTGGAAAGAGCACTGAGCACTTAGTACTTCTATTAGGAATAAAGGCTAGTTTTGAGGCCTGGAAAAGAAGACTGGGTGAGTGATTTGTGGGCAACCCAGGGAACATGGGATGATAGGAGGAGCCTTTATGGTGGGAAGCTTGAAAGCTGATTAAGGGGGCCAGCAGGTGGCATGGTGGTTAAGGTGTGGAACTCCCATGTGGCTGACCTGGACCTGTGTGTGTGTGTGTGTGTGTGTGTGTGTCTGAAATTGCAGGAGGAGGGCGGAGGACAAAGGATTGCTGCATGACCATCCTCCCTGAGGGCGTGAGTCTTACTTTCCCTCTCACTGTCTCTTTCTTTCTCTCTGGTGAGTGCATGTGCCCTATGGCAAAAACCTTAAGAAAAAATAGAAAAAAAAATAGAAAGTCGATTAAGGCCATCATGTCTTTGTTTTTGTTTTTGTTTTTGTTTTTTGTTTTTTGTTTTGGAGAGGTTTTTGCTATAGGGCGCGTGTGCTCGCCAAACAGACAGAGAGAGACATAGAGACAGAAAGCAGGAAATCACTCCCCCAGAGGGGATGGTCACACCGCAATCCCTTCTCCTCCATTCTCCTCTCGGGATCTTGGGCATGTACGCACACGTGCTTGGCGTGAGTTTTAAGTCACCGGGTCCAGGACACGAACCCCAGTTGACTATGTGGGAGTCCAGGGACATAGCCATTACGCCAACTGCTGGTTCCCAGCCATCATGTCTTTTGAACCACACTGTTGGTTTCTGTGGTGAGGGACTGCCCTTGCACCCTCTGGCCTTTTATCCCTCTTTC